CATATGGTTTTGGATTTGTCGCAAACTTTCGTTTTGACGAATTCACATGGATAGGAACACATACACCATAAAGTCTAAGTGACATAAGGTTTCCCTCCTTCATGAAAATGATTGTGAGGAAATGCTTTCACTAAGAGAGATTTTAAGAAGATAGCAATTGTGAAAATTGTATTCTCAAATTCGATTATGATTACGACATCCTTTTTCATAGTTTGAATTGTGAGATTTGGTAATTGATCTGAACATTTGGGACTTAGTAACATAAATTCTGAATTGTTTAGACACACATGTGAGCTATCTAAGGCAAAGATGTATGATCTTAAAAAGCTTAGATAAAGGCTTATCAAAGCATTAGGTATTAGAAATATGAACTTAAGGAATTCGATAAGCATTGTTTTCTGGAAGTTCAATTGTTTTCTGAATACATGTCAAAGCTAGTGGGAGCATAAGTGTTATGCTGGTAAGAAAATAATCATCATGTTAGTGGGAGCATGATTATTATGGTAAGTATTGCGAGTTAGCAATATTAATTATAGAAAACAAAGATTAACTTTGCAAAGTTGTAGGGGTTGAAAAGTTGTTTTGCTATAATTAAGGGAGAGAATATTATACTTCGTTTCAAAATTCTAAAGCTTAGATCGAGAAATGTTAATAAATTTAGTCAAGGATACATAGTGCATTCTCAATATTCGATTATGATTACGGCATCCCTCTTCATAATTCGAATAGTGGGAACATGGCACATAAAATATTATGGCAGAAGGATGATAAAGTATCACGTCTTTATGTGAGACATTATGCATCGTGTCCAATACGCTTCGGGTATAGGATTGATTGCATATGCTATAATATTTGATCATTCTAAAATTTTCCAAATGCCTAGGGCGTTAAGAGGGAAAAGGACTAGAACTGGTTTTGACTAAAATAATTAAACAACTATCAAAGGACGATTTGAGGTTCATTGAGGATTGGTCGCTTGTGAATAGTTGGAAGTATAGTACTGGATGGACCATATTGACATTATTATGAATGGATAAGATTCTATTAAGAATGAATTGTCATATGGCAAATATGGAAATGTTTCCATTAATGGGAGTTGGTAATTAAAAATCTATGTAGATTAGAAACTTTTATGCAAAAGGATGTTCAAAGGAATGTACTTTGAGTGAGAGACATCACATCTATAGAATTGTTTTGTAACAATTTCTGATAGAGAACTTAGTAATTTCATTAGCCAAGTCTTGGTGACTTTTGTGCTATGACTTTACGAAAGGGTCGTTGCATAAAATGTTAGAATCTGACATATTCTAAAAGTGGCAAGAATTTGGTATTCTTATACCAATAATAAGGATTAGGGATTGTGAAATGAGTTTCATTGGAAAAGTTTTTCAATTTATCTATTTCACAAAGTATGGACCATAGGAAACCAAAGTGTGCATGCTTGGAGCATGGGACAATTGTGGTTATAATTCGAGTAATAAGTTGATTTTCTGAAACAGTAAGCAATGAATAATGAGTAATCAATATGGTGTTTAAATAAAAGTGTTTTTATTTACGCTCAAAAGTTTTGGGGCCATATAGGATTAATATTATTATTGCGTTTCACTTTGCATGTTTTGACTTCCAGAATAACTGGGTTATTCAAACCTCCACAGTCGGTCATACGTTGGAAGTAGGTATGAAGGAAGACTGCCATGAATTTGTCTGTAGATTGTCTAAAGTGTTTAGACATAGCACAAGTTTGCTGCAGAGTTCATGAGTGCTTTGATAAGATTAAAGTATTGGATTAAACCCACGCTCACTTGAATCACTTCATGGATTTATCACGGGTGATTAGTGAGACGATAACATTGTATATTCTTGAAACCGAGGCGTGTGAGTTGTTATTTGCTGGTCGGTTGCACATTGATGATAAGTAAACGCACCAGTAACTTGATGTTATAAAACTTATTGTTGTGTGTGATTTGATTAGTAGGTGCAAGCAAGCATTTGAGTCAAAGTTTATCCATTCCTTTTACCCAAAGTGGGATAAAAGCGATATCTGTGGGCCCCTCGATGATTTAGTGATGACACCTAAGCACTTGGCCAAGCCGAGACTAAGTTGATGTGTTCAATTGTAGCCTGTTGTCAGTCGTCATAAATCAGATGTCGGGAAACAATACATAGACAGAGAGAATGATTTAAATCCATGTCTCATGTCTATACGATATCTTGTAGAATGGAGGAGTATATGATCCCTTATCTAAAGGACACGCGTATCTGATAAGATCAGAGTTGACAACGGCTTTTGAAACTACGATTGCTGATCAGGTTCTGAAGTTATGCAAAATAGTTATTAGACTTATCCAAGTGGGAGACTGTTGGATTAGTATCTAAGTCCATAACTATTTTGGTATGTACTTGACCCGATTATGAGCATGGTCCTTTTGGGTTGCCTTCACCATAACAATATGTAGGATGAATTAAGGAGAGAAAGGTTTAATTATGATTTATTAATATATTATGAGAATAATATATTAAAGGAGAAATCATATTGTTTAATTAATATTAGTCAAGAATTAATAACGAATTAATTTTGTGACTAAAAGAGATTAATTAAACTTAAGGGACTTATTGTGTAATTATAAGATAATTACATAATTGGGCTATGGATCACCGTGGAATAATAGGTTGGACGAATTCTATGGGGAAGCCCATTAGAAATCGTCCAAGACATGTTCCAGAAGGGGTCCATGGGCTGCTTAGGGCTTAAGCAGTCAGATTAGGGTTTCCTAGCTGTAAACCCTAATAGCCAGCATATATAAGGAACCCTTATGGCCCCAAAAACGTGGTGAATACTTGCATTAGGGTTTGCAACCGTTTTTGGTGCCTCCCCTCTCTTCTCTCCTTCATCCAATTGCTTAGTGGTGTTTGTGACTCCATTAGAGGTGCAACACTTGAGGCACTAAGCTTTCTGAAGCCAATCAAAGCAAGGACTGATTGTTATTGCTATATAACAATCAAAGGTAATTACTAAACCCTTATTTCAGTTCTTATATGATAGATCTAGGGTTTATAGCTTTGGATATTCGATTGCATGTTTATTAGACAAACTAGATCCAAAAGCTATTAGGGTTTGCATGTACACCATAGGAATGATGTATTGCTCGAAACCCAACATGATATTGATCAACTCATACATACAAATATCTTGAAACCGGACATGCAGATATGGTTTTAAGTTCATTGACTTAACCCCATCTTACAAGTTTTTTCCATATCAACATGTATATCATCTAGTTGTTTCTATTTGGGCTACATTATCATAAAGATCATGTAGGAAAACCACAACAAAGATTTTCAATGTGTTAGGAAGCTAGCTTTAATGTCATAGTCTTCTAATTAATCTTTAAAATTATATATTTTAAGTGTGTTAGGAAACTAGCTATAGTATTACTCTTTATATTTTATTAGGAACTAAAAGTTGTGCTACCCCTTACGAAAATTCCTGGTTCCACCACTGATTTAAGATGTTTTTTATGAGTTATTTTCTAATCTTTCTATCTTCTTATACTGATAAAAGAGTAGTTTTTTTGTCATGTGTCATCATATTAGACCTCCTGGTTAATGTCATGTCACTTATCAACCTATTGATTATCCATTTCAAATTTAAAATTTTCACCGTAATTATATTAAATTAATAACATTAGGATAAAAAATAAAATAAAATAAATATAGATTATAAGATGATATAATTTCACGTATTTATTTGAATCAATAATTATAACTGTATATAACTATATAAATATCTTTTAGTTAATAATATATTTAAAATAATTTTTTTAAAATAATTGATTAATAATTTTGAGTTTTTATTATAAAAGTTTAATTAATTTTGTAACCGTGGTTCCCACAGGTTATAAACTAGTTACACATATACATATAGACACCATTTCCCAAACATTAAAATTAATTTAATAGTTTTTTTATGTTTTGATACAAGATAAACTATAAACCTTTGAAACTCTATTTTAAGTCGAATAAATAAAGGGAAATCTCCACAAAAAGTCATAATATTTTATCCTAATTTACGAAAAAAATTTCAAACTAAAATTTGTTTACTTAAAAAAACATGAACTACCGGTAAAAATGACGATTTGACTTATTTTCCCGGTTTACCGGTTTCATTATCTGTCTATTTCCATTAAAGTCCCGTTATTTTATCATAATTTATGAATAAGTCTCAAACTAAAATTAAGTGACGATTTAGCCATTTTCTACCTTTAACGTATATTTTACCGGTTTCATTGCTATCATAGAGCTAATGAGATGGATATGTTGGGTTATATAATGTTATGTTTACCATAAAACTTGATATCCTGATGTACTGTATATTTTTTGGAATATAAAATGCATCCAACGAAAACTGTAATAATTATATAAACTAGCAACAACTTCGTCATTTTTTAAGTTTATAAGAAATTTCAATTTGTCTATCTAATCTTATGTAACCTAGTATATCCATCTCATCAACTTATTGCTCACATTTTTTTTTTCAAAACACACATCTTACCAGTTTCATTGCTGACCTGGATATATTGTCATAAATAAGCCGATAAGATGAATATCAAATTTTACGATAAACGTAGTATTATATAACCCATCGTACTCATCTCTTATCAGCTCATTTAATGACAAGGCGTCCAGATCAGCAATGAAACCGGTAAACTATATGTTACATAGAGAAAATTGTCAAATCATCACTTAATTTTAATTTTAGTTTAGGACTTATTCGTAAGTTATGGTAAAATAATGAAACTTTAATGAAACCAAGTAAGTAATGAAACCGGTAAATCGAGAACAATGGGTCGAATCCTTATTTTTACAGGTAATTTATATTTTTTCATAAATAAATTTTAGTTTGAGATTTTTTTTGCAAATTAAAATAAAATTTTAAGAATTTTTTTTGAGGTTTTCCGATAAATAAATATGTATTTTTAGTATAAGGCAAAGTAGATTGACAGTACACCTCGGGGTAATCAATATTATCAGTGCCATTGGATCACCCTCTCGTCAAACTGCTAAAGCTCCTCCTCTTTGAATTTCGAAAGGAAGCTGCGAAAAAATGGAGATGGAAGTAAAAGCGGTGGCAGGATTGGAAGGATGCTACGTTTCACTACCACTTCATCTGATTCAAACTCTTCAATCAACCTCTTCTTCAGGTTCTCTGTTTTCATTTCTAGCTCTTGAGCTTCGTTCAATCGCAAACAGTAATGATGTCTGGTACGTTGCTTGGTCTGGTTCCGCATCGTCTAGCTCTTCTGCCATCGAGGTATTCCTCTATTCCACTATCGTATATGTCAATTTAGTTTGGTTATAATCGCTGTGTATGCTTTTCAGAATCAAGTTGTAGGTTTGAAGTTCACAACTTTAGCTCTTTATGTAAGTGATTCTGAATTAGAATGCATATAAGGTTCATCAGAACTGTATGATAGTGTTTGGAAGATGAAATTCGAGGTTTTAAACTACAATTGGGTCAAAATTAGTAACTAACCTCCAATTGTGCGCTCACATGGAATAGGATTTCCCAAATTCGCTTGCGCAGTCTTATACTCAAAGACCTAATTCGGGGAGGGGCATGGTTTCCCAAACCCGCCCCGATATCTTTCGGGTATCTTATCGGGGCGCCCCATTGGGTTTCGGGTTTTCCCGTCGGATTTCGGGTTTCTTATCGGGTTTACAAAAATTCATAACGAAATCTTTATTCCGTTTTAGGGTACCCCGATGTCTTATAAAAAATACATAGCCTCCCTTTTAAATTAAAAATATGATGAATCACTTTAATAAAATAAAATGGACGTTATATTAAAAATTATTTGATTTAAGTTTAGTGTAATACGTCAAAACATAAAAAATGATCATTCACAGCAGATTGTTAATAACTAAAAAGATTGTCCATAGTAAGTATTTTATCTTTAAATGCGTTCAATTAACATTAAAAGGATTCAAACATATATATATATATATATATATATATATATATATATAATCGGGGCGGATCAGGTCGGGGCGATGATAACCCACTCCCTGCCCCGAACCCGATAAAAAACCCGATAACGACCCGTTACCCGACCCGAAATGATCGGGTTTCCCCGTCGGGTTCGGGATTTTTTGCCATCCCTAGACCTAAGTTTCTCTAACTTCATACTATTTTTCTTTGCCTGAATGCAAACCTGATAACCTTTATGCCCCACACAAAACGCAGCAATTTGTATATTGGTTGTGGCATATTGTTTGCAAAGTTCTCTCTTTGTATAGATATGAAGTTAAATACCAGTTTGCCAATGGTTATCCTTAATGGTATTGATTTTGTTCTACTAGGTTCCAATCCCTATGTCTAGAGCTAAAGTTTACAATAGTGGCTATGATGAAATATTGTCTTCATAACAAATTCAGTACGAATATTATTTATGCGGTCCATGTTTCAACATTTTAATATATCTATCAAATCTATTTAAACAGTATAAGCTCTATATCGGCTTTTGAAATTCAAAAGTTGCTAAGGTATCGATGAATATCAAATGCGAAATGCATAGATGGGGAAATAAGTACTTATTCACAATATATGTCTGCATGATAGTTGTTATCTTCTATCTTCCTTAAAATCTCCCTCTTATTCTTGTTTCTCATGAAAGACATGTTTGAAAAGAAATTTTCAATTTTATACTCCTCTGTAGAAACTAAAGTTTGAACGATTCCTTCTAAACATGTATTTCATGAGAAACAAGAATAATAGGAAGATTCTAAGGAGGATAGAAGATAACAAATATCATGCAGACATACATTTTGAATAAGTACTTATTTCCCCATCTATGCACTTTGCATTTGATATTCATCGATACCTTATTTCCCCATCTATGCACTTTGCATTTTATTAAAAACATATTAGCTATGCGCAAGTGTTTTTTTTTTTTTTTGTTATTACTTCATCCGTCACTGTTATGTGAGAATTAGTAACTGCTTCATGCATATTTTCTTTAAACCATACTAATTCAAGATCTACTGTGACATACTTTTACATTGATGTTTATGTAATCTGATTCAAATTTATCTCTATCGTTGACACTTTATTTTGTGTACCTATGTAGATTGCTCAGCAATTTGCAGAATGCCTTCATCTGCCAGATCATACAACTGTTAGAGTAAGAGCAGTTCCCAGTCTTCCCAAAGCCAAAAGTGTGACTATTGAACCTGATACCGAGGACGATTGGGAAGTTCTAGAGCTAAATGCAGAGCATGCAGAGGCAGCCATCTTGAAGCAGGTGCTTACTCAATAGATTGTATATTTATCCTTATTCAAATTTTAGCTCAACAATCCAACCAAGCCTAAAAATAACCTTTACTAATCCTTATTTATAGAGTTATTTATCATGGAAATAATATATCTACTAAATCTAATACTTCAATATAAAGTGTTTATATGTGATTAGTAATATATGTTATATATTAATAGCATTGAGCCCATCTGTTGCTAGAAGGGCTATGCTTTTTTATGATTTAGCTTCTTTAGTTTTAGTGATCTTATAGCTATTAATAAAAGTCAAAAAGATTCCAGACACTTCAATTAGCGTTTCATATGTGGTAATCATATTTTGTTGGTCCATATGTCACTTTTCGAATAGGTGGAGAATAACACTTTTTATTTGTTTACATACTGACTTTAGGCTGGAATAGTCCATGAAGGCATGAGATTTCCTTTGTGGTTGCATGGGCACACAACCATTACATTTTCTGTAGTCTCAACTGATCCAGAGGAACCAATGGGTGAGTTGATATCTTATGTTTTCCCTCTCGATAAATATTCCCGTATCTGTTGATTTAAATGCTTGGTTCTTATTCTATGAACTAAAGTATGCTTTTCACAGTGATAATACACAATCATATATATACAACTTTAAAATATGTTATATGTTTGTAACTTATAAAATATATGTTGTTCAGTGCAACTTGTGCCAGGGACTGAAGTATGTGTTGCTCCAAAGAGACGCAGAAAATCTGAAAACTCAGTTGTAAAGGCATTACTGCGTATCCAAGATGGAGACAGTAGATTTTTTCATAAACTTCGGGTCAAGGATAATGAGATGGGGTTGGTTCTTACTTCTGCTGTCTTTATTCATCCAGAAACAGCTAAAGTTTCTTCCCTAGATTCTCTTCAAACTATAGTTTTAGAGCAAAGGTTGGTTAAGAAGGAGAAGAAAGTAAATTCAACTGCAAAGGAAGTTGACAATGTGATTCCAACTGACAAGCAGGATACCAGACAGGCTGTTGTTCGTCTTCTAATATCAGATTCAGTGGCTAAAGGACATGTCATGCTTTCTCAATCTTTACGATTTTATCTGAGAGCAGGCTTACATTCTTGTAAGTTAACTCTTTGAAAGAAAAAGGGTGGCTTTTTCTTTTCTCTTATCTTGCTACATAAAGTTAGATGCAGCCATGTAACATTGTTTTTTTATGCTTCCAGGGGTACATGTGAGAAGTTGCAATATTGTTCTACAAAAAGATCCTCTCTCATTTGTTATTTCTCCTTGTCAATTTAAGATGTTTAAAAAGAAGGTCTCTGAAAGTAATGGTTTTGGAAATCTTCATGGACACAGGAATCATCGCACCGAGAAACTGTTTCTGAAGACAAATCCAGATACCCAATATGACTTGTCTGATTGGTCAACCCATGAGAAGGTTATTGCAGCTCTTTCTGATGATACATCTGGTCATCAGAATGAAGGAACTTCTGTTAGCCCCACAAGTAATAAAGGGTTATTGGTTCTTCTGCATGCATGGATTTTGGCTCAACTTGATGCCATTATGTCTTTTTCCAAAACCGAACTAAATTCAATGGTTTTGGGGAATAAGATGTTGCTTCACTTTCAGGTGAAAGGCAATGATTTAGCAAAACTACATGAATCACATAATCGTTCTTTTGAAGTAAAAAAGAAAACCGGGGAATCATCAGTTGATATCATGTATGTTCTCTCGGTTTCTGAGGATTCTATGCAAGGTGGAGTAGCTTATGAGATTGAGTTTTCTGAAGGAAACAAGAAGACCATGAATAAGAAAAGCTTAGATTTCTTTCTTCAGAAATTGGAAAAGGGTGATGGTTTACCTCTTCATACAGTCAAAGAAAGAATATCTGACAAGCGTTCCAACTTGGAGATTTCTTCCTTGAGCTGGATGGGCACAACAGCTGCTGATGTGACTAATAGTAGGTACTTTAGCTTTAATTTTCTCACTTCTAAAACATATGCATTCCAACTTGATAATCATGAGCGATGCATATTATAGGTGCAATGAGAAAACAAAAATAGAGTAATATTTTGCTTATGCAAATACTTGTTCATATATATTAATTCTCCATATTTGGCTTTAAACTTTAATGAAGCTGTGATTGTCTGACATGCATTTGCTTCCTTTCTGCAGGGTTAATGGTGTTACTGTCACCTTCCTCTGGGATATTCTTAAGTACTTACAATCTTCCTTTCCCTGGACATGTGTTGATTTATGGACCTCCAGTGAGTTCTCCATACTTACTCCTTCCATAAAAAAAAGAATCAACATTTTACTTTTAAGTGAGTTCTTCATACTTACTCCTTCCATATTAGCATATACTTAAAGTATGCAAATATCTTGAATGTCAGGGTTCTGGGAAGACATTATTAGCCACAACTGTTGCAAAAACTATTGAAGAACATGAAGACATCTTGGCACACATGTAGGGCATCACATGACTTCTCTAGCTGAAAGACATTACTATTTATTTATTATGACAAATTGTTTTGATGGAGGGTTACTTTTCATAGAGTGTATGTAGGTTGTTCTAAACTTGCTTCAAGTAAGTCCCAAGCTATCCATCAAGCCCTTTCTAGTTACATATCTGAAGCCTTGGATCATGCTCCTTCCCTTGTGGTACTTGATGATCTTGATAGCATTATAGCATCACCTAATACCTCAGAAGACAATCACTCTTCACCTTCTTCTACTTTGCTCATGGAATTTCTCATAGGCATCTTGGACGAATATGAGGTATAGTTGCATTGCATGTTTTGTGGTAGATCTATCTTATCTGAGCTTGCTAATGCTAACTAATAAATTTATATCTGCATTATCAGGTAAAGAGGAAGCATTCATGTGGAATTGGTCCCATTGCATTCATAGCTTGTGTTCAGACCCTAACCAGTATTCCACAAACCTTAAGTTCCTCTGGTGAGCTTTTGTATATACTTCTGTTACATTTATATTATGAGTTCATGATTTTTAATACTTTTGATTCCAGGCAGGTTTGACTTTCATGTCCAACTGGCTGCTCCTGCAGCTGCTGAACGTGGGGCTTTACTTAAATATGAGATTCAAAAACGTTGTTTGTCCTGTTCTGATGATGTTTTGTTAGATATAGCTTCCTCATGTGATGGATATGATGCGTATGATCTGGTATTTGGTTCTTTTTCCATATCTCCTGCATCTGCATGTATAATTAGTATTAAATAAGTTTGTAAGAGAAAGTGAAAGTGGTAAACATATGATCAACTTTTGCAGGAAATCCTGGTGGATAGGTCAGTTCATGCTGCAATTGGTCGGTTTGTGTCTCGTGGGTTGACTTTTGGGAGCGAGAAAAACCCTAATTTGACCAAGGATGATTTTGTACAAGCAATGAAAGGGTTTCTGCCTATTGCTATGCGTGATGTTACTAAATCTGCTTCTGAAGAAGGACATGGAGGCTGGCAGGATGTTGGTGGTCTAATTGAAATTCGCAATTCTATCAAAGAGGTATAATATTGTCCTTTTCTTGTAACAACAATATTTGCCACAATTTTTGCAAAAAAGTATTGAAGAACATGGACTTATCTTAGCTTTTTAATAGTATTTGATATTAATTTTGGTATGTCAGATGATTGAATTACCTTCAAAGTTTCCAATGATCTTTTCACAAGCTCCTTTACGGTTGAGGTCAAATGTTCTGTTATATGGGCCCCCGGGTTGTGGTAAAACACATATTGTTGGTGCTGCTGCTGCTGCATGTTCACTACGCTTCATCTCTGTCAAAGGGCCCGAGCTGTTGAATAAATACATTGGTGCTTCTGAGCAAGCCGTAAGTCACAATCTAGTGCATTTTTTTTTTATAAATTATAATGCATTTTTTTTTACAGAGGCATAGATCAAATCATCCACACACCTAATCTAATTGCAGGTACGTGATATATTTTCAAAAGCAGCAGCTGCAGCACCATGCCTCCTCTTTTTTGATGAATTTGACTCCATTGCTCCAAAAAGGGGTCATGATAACACTGGTGTGACCGATCGAGTTGTTAATCAAGTTAGTTTATTATTATTTATATATACTCTTTGTACAAAATCTGACCACTATTGTAATCAAAACTTGCCAGTTTCTAACAGAGTTAGATGGTGTTGAGGTGCTGACTGGAGTATTTGTATTTGCTGCCACCAGGTCAGTAATTCTTAGATATGACAAATGCAGGAAATATCAGACAAACTACATTTTTTAAAATAAAAGATGGACTTAACTCTTAAGTTATTAATAGTTTAAATAAAATCATATTTTTTTGGATTTACAGTAGACCTGATCTACTCGATGCTGCCCTGCTGCGACCCGGAAGATTAGATCGTCTGCTTTTCTGTGATTTCCCATCACCACAAGAGAGATTGGATATTCTTAAAGTTCTTTCTAAAAAGGTTACAATCACCTATAAATATATAATGACATAACACGTTGTACTGTTGTTTGACATGCATTGGACTGGGATTGAGACAAATTTTTCAATTTTTTGTCCCACTCAAAAAGGTGGGACCGGGACAAAATTTGCATATTTTTGTCCCATCCAAAAAGGTCCTTGACATCAGTCTAATGCACGCCAAACGCAGTACAACCTGTTTTGTTTTGTTTTGTCTTGTGGGTAACAAATTCAAATTGGACCAAGAGGATGAATTTTCTGAAACCCGAGTTTTTGGATATCAGTTACCAATGGCGAATGATGTGAAGTTGGAAGGCATAGCACGAAAAACACAAGGATTTAGTGGAGCAGATCTCCAAGCTCTGTTATCAGATGCACAGCTGGCAGCTGTTCATGATCTTCTCAACAGTGAAGACCCTCACAAGCCTGGAAATAAACCGGTGATCACCAATGCACTTTTGAACTCGATTGCCTCCAATGCAAGACCTTCAGTTTCAGAAGCAGAAAAACACAGATTATACAACATTTATGGCCACTTCTTGGATGCTAAACAATCTGCTTCTGCACAGGTCTTTCTCAGTCTTACTACACAATTTTTTGTTGAATTATTTCAATCTTGTTACTTGGAGTATATTGGGTGAGTTGATTTGTGTACCTTTGTTTTCTGCAGTCGAGAGATGCCAAAGGGAAAAGAGCAACACTTGCGTAATGAATCGGTTGCTTTGCTTTACGACTTCATTTATGTGTATCAGTATACAGGTAAGATTAGATTTTTTTCATTATATGGGTACTTATTTTCAAATCGGCTGTACCACACTTTGATAGATCATAATAAACTTTCGATTCTCATTTTTTTATACAGAAATGTAATCATAAATATCATGAGAGGCGTTGGATTTTATAATTTTAAATCTGCATTGTGTATGTTATTAGTAAAATGAGGTAAAGATTATTCCAATGTAGGCTTGAACATGAGACTTCACTAATATTATTGAAACTTGTTTAAACTAGGGATGAGCAAAACCGGGTATTTTAAATCTGCATTGTGTATGTTATTAGTAAAACCGCTCCTGGAACCGGCGGTTATGAAATTATTGGTTTTGGAACCGGAACCGCTTACACCGGTTCCTTGAAAGTTGGAACCGCTCCCGGAACCGCCTAGACCGGTTCCGGGTACCCGGTTTCCTGAATGTTTAAACTATTTTATTTTATACATGCCATGGTAATTAACTTTTATAAAACTAAATAATACAAGATATAAAACTAAATAATTATAAAAACTTGATCTCAAAACAACAAAACAGCAACAAATGGAATTTAGCAAGTAAATATGACAAAAATAATAAGGTACAAAAGAACAAAACAGATCAAAACAAAAACAGCAAACTACAGAAATAGTCTCAAAAAAACAAACTACAAAAATAATCACAAAACAGCAACAACTCAAAACAAAAACAGCAACAACACAAAACAGCAATAACAACAATCAACAGCAGCAAAAACAACAAAAATATGTCTTGGCAAATGGCTCTCTGGTCATCCTGATCTGCCATGAATCTGGATAAGAAAAGAAAGGCATGAAGCGACATTACCATATTTTATAGAAAATAAGATAATAAACAATGTTTCTTACATCTCAAGATAAAAAAAAAGTACGGAAATGAAACCTATAAATAAGATAAAACTCTGCTTTAGATCATTTGCATCTCATCCCTAATCAAAATAACATCACGATGACCAAAGACTTGCAAAGGAAACCTACAAATTAGAAGCAAATTCAAAACATTATATGATATCAAAGAACAAAACTACAAATTAAAAACAAAATCAAGGACTTTTTTTACATTTGTACTCTCAAGTTCCAACAGTTCCAACACCTGTACATTTTAAAACATCACAAAACTATTAAAAAAGAAAAAGCAAAAGCAAAAGCAAACTGTGAGTAGGATTATTTATTTGTTATCTATTATCTAACCTTGGTGCAAAGCTTTTCAGTAAACTTACATTCTGGTTTAACTGTATGGATGAATTTTTCCCCTTTCTTCATTGTTTTTACAGCCTTCGCCAGAGCCGGGCAGAAATGGCCTGATCAAAACCAAATATGTCAGCAACAATGAAAAAAGATTGTAAGGTCACAATAGAAAGCAACTATGTGCTAAAGTTACCATCTTCTACTTTAAACTCCACTTCATCATCTTGATACCCAGATCCCATCCCTTGATCACTTGCCCTATTGTCAAATAACACAAGAAAATAGTGTTAATTATGTGATCACCTTGACCGAGAGTGAACTTAAATGGCGTTTCCCTATCACGACTTGAATCAAACTGAGTCCCGTCGAGCAACGTTCCAGTATAATGAACTGTCAAAAACTCAAATCCACATCCCGATCAATACAATCATACAATTTAACCACAAAATAGTACAAGATGCATTGGATATTAGCTATACTCCCAAATCGAGCTATCAAATTTCATAGTCAATAGATGCAATCTAAGAATCGAGATATCAAATTTAACAGAAAACAGATGCAAACTAAAAGAAAAACCTAAAGCATCGAGAATCGAAATATCAAATTTCATATATTTACATAACAACCTAACAAATCGAGAATCTGACCTTGACGAGAGAGACGGGGGAGAACCTAAGTAGGGATGATCAGCGATTGAATATAGATGGTCTACTACAGTGAATCAAGCAACGTGGTCCATTGTCGTCTTCTACTCTTCATTAATCGATGTGGTATTTGCCTATTTGGGTCCATCAATATTCAATCACAGTGAGAGACAGAGAGACGAGGGAGACGAGAGAACTCAGAGAAGAAGTGTGTGTCGGCGTATTTTTTAGAATGAGTCAATATAACCCTAGACAAAATCAACAATATATAAATAATTAAATATATAATTTTTTAAAAATAGGCGGGTACCCGTCGGTACCGGTTCCGGTTAACCGCCGGTTCCGGGTACCCGATATTGAAACAGGAACCGACGGGTATCCAACGGTTATCGGTTTTTTGAAAATGAGAATTGGAACCGGAACCGTTTAAGGCGGTTCCGAGACTTTAAGAACCGGAACCGGAACCGCTTAAGGCAGTTCCGGTTCTAGAACCGGCAGTTCCGAGGCAGTTCCAGTTCTGAAAGCAGGTACCCGCTTCCGCTGCATCCCTAGTTTAAACTGATGGTAAAATTGTATGGGGTTTGACGTTGCAAATCAGCGTGGAACTTAATCCTATTGCAATTTACAAAATCTTTTGACCCATGTAATTGACAATTCAATTTTAGCCCACACGATGTTGTTGTTGAGGTTCCAAAACTTTTTTATGTATTAATTAAATTTATTTTTATGTTTGTGAAATTTTTATAAAGCCTATAATCTACTATGTTACTTTTAAACATATGTAATATTGACAAAATTAAAATGTACTTACGAATAACATTAAGGTTGTTTTTGGCGCATCACAGCTAGCTGATAAGCTAGTTTATTTTTCGAGCTTTTTTATATTGTTGTGTTTGGTAAGCCAAAAAGTAGCTTATAAGCTAGCTTTTTAAAAAACTACTTAGACTAGCTTTTTTAGGAGTTTTTTTAAAATTTTCCAAATATACCCCTTAATTAATTATAGAAACACATACTCTTACATGTCATTTTATGTAATTTTATATATTTCAGCTAGTTTACCAAACGTTATTTTTTATCAGCTAGCTTTTCAGCTAACAGCTAGTCCGCCAAACATAGCCTAAATAATACCAACAATGTCTCCTTTTATAGATAAATAAAAGCCACAAACAAACAGTATTTTTGGAAATTAACTAATTTATCATCTACTTTTATTTAGTTGAAAAAAAAAGTAAAAAAAAAATTAGTTCGATGGCATCCTCTGTCATAATTTGGAGAAAATAGGTATGAGATAGTATCACGAAGTGTTTTTTTTTTTTTTTTTTTTTGACACATAATAACACACCAACAATGTTTGTTTTTATAGACATAAAATGCTACAAACAAAGTTGAAAAATATAAATATGCCCGTATCATTTTTTTTAAATAAAAAAATGATAAAATAATTACATTTCTAGTTACAATAAATAAATAAATAAATAAATAAAATATCATATGATAATGATGAATTTAATATTTAATATTGGAGATTAAAATGAGAATAAAAATGAGTCAAAATTATTTTCTGTGATAAAAAATTAAAATTATATATAATTATATAATTTGGTCTGAAATACAATGTTTAAATCAAAAAGGATGGGTAGGTTCTTATATATATATATATATATATAGATATATATATATATATATCTATATATATCTATATATATATATCTATATCTATATATATATATATATATATATATATATATATATCAAATAATCATTTCCTTGTGTTTATGATTATGGCATTTAAATTTTTATTTTTGTTTTAACAGCATTTGACGAACTAAAGTATTTTAGAAGTTACAAATTACATAATTAAATATTATGCTGTTGTATTTTAATAAATTAAAATAATAATAAAAAATTATTGTTTTATTATTAAATTAATAGATATGTGGTTACTGATATAATACTTTTAATAAAAATAACATTTGATGCTACAAAATGTGTCCAAAAAATCAATTTACATGGACCAAATTGAACCAAAGAAGACCCAAGTTGAACCAAAGAAATGGTTTTGATATGGATCGACGGTCTTGGGTCGGTCCCCCTATTCAGCTATCTATTTGTCTTTAACCAATCTAAATCTATCTAAGACACATTGTTTCCAGTTGAAAACAATTTTCAACAAAGCCGATTCAAAATTGATCTCAGAATACCAGTCCATGTTAGTCTAAAGGTCTAGCAGAAAACCAGTATGAAGTAAACCAAATTTTATATAAAAAATTACTAATAAAGAAACACTTGAGAATCAAGGTTACCAAAAGGACCCTGTAAAGTTTTTATAGCCTTTTCTTTTTTTCAATCATTTTGCATTCCTTCAAATAACTTTAAGTTCTATTTTCTATGGATGTGAATGTGATAAGCTTCACACCAAGTTTACATTTTGCTTCCTCTTTCACTTGTAAGCTCCTGTAAAGGCATTGTTTTTTGGGTTTGCAACTTCTACTTGTAATTTTGCCATGAATATGTGGTGTTGAATATAAATTAATATAGATTAGAGGAGATCATCAATCCACTATTGATATAAATTTGAAAAAAAAAATCATTTAGGCTATATGGAGTGGTCTACTAAAGAAGCTATATGAGACGCATGAAAGGCTTCTAGATCTTGTTTCATTATTCTGTTATGTTCCAAGAACAAAGTATCTACCTCTAGGGCCAACAAGGTAATATATTACTGCATCAATATCATCATCAGCTGTTGTATTTTTTTTTTATATTGAATGTAGCAGAAGCTTATTCATTGTGTTTGTTTACAATCTACAAATTAACAGTGCAAAGCTGATTGAGATATATCGGAATCGGCATAATATTACTGCATCAAGTGGCATGAGGGATGTTGCTGTGTCTACAGGGATTTCTGAACTGTTATATGAGTCCATAAAACCAGCAGCTGTGGAGTCTGACAATAATCTTGATGATGATCTGGTAAATGCTTGGGCAACAGGTCTTGCTGATGATGGCTTGTGGGGAAGCAATGCTCCTGCAATGAATAGGGTGAGAAATGATCTTTTTTTTTTTTTTTCTTAAGAAAAAAAAAACCCCCCATTAAGTGTTATCTATGTTTAAAAAATATTTGAGAAAATGAAGGGACACTTGGTAGGAAAGAAATAAATGAGGGAAGTTGTTTAAAAAAGTTGTTGAGTTAAGGTGATGATGTATAATTTGATTTTGGAAGGTTAATGAGTTTCTTGCTGGTGCTGGGACTGATGCACCTGATGTTGATGAGGAGAACATTATTTCAAGACCTTCAATGAGTTATGATGATATGTGGGCAAAAACTCTGTTAGAGACTGCAGAAGTTGATGTAAGAATTCAGTGCATTTTATTTATGTATGATTGTGCAATTTGATGTATATCATATGTTTATTTGTAGGATGACGGGAGGTCTTCTGGATCCTCTTCTCCAGATTCAGTAGGGTCGGTTGAGACATCAATTTCATCTCATTTTGGAGGAATGAATTATCCATCTTTGTTCAGTTCCAAACCATCAGCTTATGGATCTTCACAACCCACGGTATCATAAAATTTGAAAGCTATTTTGTTATCTGATAGATAGATAATATGTTTGAAGTTACTTTGTTTATTATAACTTCCTGCTTTCATTTCTTCTTATTACAGGATTTTAGTTTAAAAATCTACTCAAATTTTAGCAAATGCAAAGCATTTTTGACTGCTATTATCAAGTAGATCTTTCAAACTATAATGTTCTAATAAGAATTTTTTTTTGAAAGTATAGTGCTATAACTGGGTAGATTTTAAAAAATATAACGAATGGTTACCAGGGAAAAAAGGTATAATGGTGTAATAAAAAAAATGAAAGCAGGATGGTATTGATTTGTTTGGATAAAATGAAATAGTAATGACTTCCAAATACAAAGCAAGTTTGACTGCTAGAATTGGGTAGATTTTTGAAAGTATAATGTCCTGATAAGAAATGCGATAATTGGTTGGATTTCTGAAAGTACAATGTCTAAATAATAAATAAACTGAAATTAATTGGGTGATTTTTTCAATGTATAATATGGGTTAATAAGAATAGAGATGAAAGTATAATAAAAAGAATTGGAAGTAGGATGTGATAATACAGAAATGAATAAAAGTATTGTCACTTGGAAATAGGTGGTATAAATGTGATAATCTGTTTGAGTGTGTAAGTTGTATTTATCTATTTGGGTTATGATTTTATGTTGAATGAATTGTGTTGTTAGCCATGGACATGGTTGATGATGAATCTTATAGTTAGTTATTGAATTGAATATATTATATCAAGTAAGTAACTTGTTAATTGGTGTTGGTGGTTTATATAATAAAAAATAGATTCGCGAAGAGCCTCCTCCATACTCATCTCCGGTTCATCAAAGATTCGAGTCATTTGAGAACCCGTTGACCAGACAGGGGTCAAGCAGCTTTGAGTCTCATGAAGAGGAAAGAGGAGAAAGATCACGATCCTCTACAGGGAATGCACAATCTGGATCACTTTATGACTTCACAGCCGGTGGTGACGAAGATATGTTGCAGTCTTGTAGAAAGTGGAAACCGTACAATTTATCCAACCTTTGAACTTGGTGATGTACCTCTATACCACCTATTTCCAAGCGACAATACTTTTGTTAGTGTTTTTATTAATTGATCAATACTCAAAAGTATATCTTTTTTTTTTTTTTTTAACGGTTTCATGGGTTGTAATTTGTTTCATTAAATGTTATTTGATATTTATTTTATAAGATGTTTAGTATGTGATTGTGTCATGCTTTGTAAATCTTTGTAATCAAACAATTAATTTTTTTTTATATATTTTAATCATGGTTCTAAAAAGCACGCCATGATGCGCCTCAAAGCATGTCATGGCGCGAGGCGTGACCTAGCCATTACGAAAACATCCAAGGCGGGTTTGTTAAGCGTGACGCCCAAATAACGTGTCAAGGCGCGCCTTACCGCGTTATGGCGCGAGTTTTTTTCAAGGCGCCAATATTTTCTTGTTTTGTTTTGTTGTTTTTTTTTTTTTTTTTTTGACCGGCCTTAAAATAATTGAGTTTTTGTTAACTTTTTGATACTAAATATTAATATAACACTTCTAAAAACTTGATATATTTGATAACATTCAATAATTATATGATTTATCTTTTTTAATTTATAATAGTCACGCCTTGAAAAACGTCATAGCTTAACTTTAACCTTGCTGTCAAGCCACACCTCATATTATTTAGAACCTTGATTTTAATGATCAATACTTATAGATACTATAACAAGTTAATTAAATTAAGTAGAATTTCGAATATCCAACTTGACATTTGTATATCAAAATCTGCTATCCGAAAGCTGATTATCATGTTTTGCACTACCTAATTGTAGTATGGTAATTGGTAATTTTCAGTTTAACGGTAGAAAGAATTTTTTTTCCGGTTAACCACTAAGGTATGTTTTGTTTTTCAAAATATAACTATTATAGCTTGAATTTGATTGGGGTTTAGTCTTTTAAAATATTCTCTTTTTTTATTATTTATTTATGAAACTTTGAATTATTAATTAAAAAAAAGAGAAATTAAATATTCTCTTACTTTTTGTTCCTACAAACCCCTCTACCCAATTGAATAGTGACACGTGTAACATTTAATGCTCATTTAATGAAATTTAATGATATTTTAGTATACTAATATGATATATGTCATCATTTAATTGGGTAGGAGGATTTGTAGGAATAAAAGTAGGAGGATATTTAATTTCTCATAAATAAAATATTAGGCTAAAAGGTGTGGTGTCATATCATTTTTGCTTACTAAAATTTAGTACCACGTAGGCGCAACATAAAATTTTGTCATTCTTGTCATGTTTTGCCTATGAGTGTGATGCACCTCCGGGTTCGGCTTCCATCTTTTATAAGGTTAGTCGATTCCTTCATAATGTAAGTAACCTAAAGACATCAAACAACTTGTAAGCTAATTGACCGGGAGGGGATCACGGGCTAACGCTCTAATGATAAAGTCAGAAAAGACCTTGTGAAGGACTATCGAAAGTGTAATGGATCGTAGTATGTTAAGAATGAGATCGATTGTAATGTGATTATGATTGCGTACCTCTAATAGTGGATTCGATTACCTATTTGTAGTCGAGATGAAAATGTGTCAACCTCTTCCTATACCGAGCATGTTCGTCATCTTGTCACATTTATGGTTGTATGCCCGAAGGTACATATCGATGTACTTATCAGCCGTTCAACAGCTGTTCTTCGTAAGTATAAGGATTTATCAGTCACTTATCATTATACAGTCTAACTATTTTTAAGTTCCCATGTCCTTTGGGGACTGTGGTGATGCCATGTTGTACTTTAGTCGTTATTCTTCATGGTCCGGTATTCAGACATGGTTCAGTGCTAAACCATGTTCGGTATTACATGTGGTTCGGTACGGAACATGGGTCGGTACTTCTGAGGGCATAAATGTAGCGCTTTAACCCTTATACCCTATTAAGTCCCCCCAGTTTGGATTGTTACTTGTCGGTAAAAGTAATAATTCAAACTCACAAAGTCTAGAAAGTAACTGTTGCAATCGGATAAGTACAAAACACCATGATCAAGCTTGCCTTCATGCTCTTCAGGTTCCTATTATTTCCCCTAAACCTAAGAGGGGACATAGGGTTAGCATCCACCTGATATTGGCTCTTTCAAACTCAATGTGGACGGTTCCGCTATAAATGGATTCATAACAGGGGGTGGTGTTATCAGGAATTACCAAGGTCAGGCTGATATGACGGTTTGAAGGCCCCTAGGGCTCATCATTGCTTATAATCGTCTCTTCATATCTTCTTTATTTAGGAGACTTGCAGTGTGTAACTACCATTTTGTATGCTTCATTGATGTCTTATTTTTGGATCTCCTACACATATTCTTCTTAGCGTTTTCATTTTCTTCTCTTGTAACATCCCAAAAACCGTGAAAAAAATATTCATTTTTAAAACCATATAATAACCCATAAATCATACACAACATTGTTTCCAAAAGTCATGATCATCAATTAGAGTATTCCAAAATCATAGGTCAATAAACTATCCAAGGATGATGTGCACAATCACACCTTCGCCTTGTCCCGATCCTCAGATGTACCTGAAACCATGAAATCAAACTGTAAGCCAAAGATTAGTAGGTTCCCCCAAAGTACCCCACACAACAACATCCATACAATGCACGCAACCATGCCTACTGCACAAGACTGGACCGCCACCGAGCCTTCAGCTATAAGTTGGAACGCTCCTAAGCCTACAACATAAGTTGGACCGCTCCATTGGGCCTACAGTATCAACTGGACCGCCCGAGTATCTTGGCCTTCGGCACAAAGTAAGACTGCCTCAACCCAACAAAACAATAACATGCCGATATATGCAATGATAATTAATAACCACCAAGTATAGGTAATCATACACATCTACCAGTCTAAAATATAACCAACGAATATAGGTAATCATATAGACCTACCACTCTAACATGTAACCAACATAGCATCATCCTATATACCAGGATACATAAACTAGTGGGCCGAAACTGGTGCCTTTGAACCATGACTACAGTGAGGAAAACTCACCTCAAATTCTGAAACTGCTCTAAATATTGGCTCTACATGTCACCTATACAACAAACAGGGACCAAGCCTTAGTCTACTACTAAAATCACTCCATTTGACCTAAAGTCAAAATTGGTCAAAGTCAACGGCCAAAAAGTCAAAAGTCAACACTCAGGTTACGCCCTGCGTAGAGCACTAAGTTGCTTTTACGGGACAAAACAAGGCTACGTGTTGTGTAGCCATAATTATTCCATGCATACTACACTAATTATGTCATGCATACTACACTGGTGAACACTTTTCTCTTTAAGTTCTTAATACAAAAGATTATACCACCAAACTTCCAAATCTAAGCTAGATGAACGTCTTAATGGATAAAGTCTATGAATTTATCCATTTGCATGTATCTTAAGGACACCAAACTAAAACCTAGGTCCAAATATAACGACCCAAAAATCAAGGGGAAAATTTTCATTTTTTATTATAGTCAAAACACAAATATCATTTAATCCAAACATTCCAAAAACGTTGCTAATTAAAAACATTTATTAGAGTTCATCCCAAAATCACATATTGCGGAAAACACGGGTGTGCGCTGCGATCAAGCCGGGCCCTTCCTTTCCAAATCGATGATACCTGAAACCATAAACAAATCTATAAGCACGAAGCTTAGTGAGTTCCCCAGAGCATACCCCACATAATCCACATAATCTACATAACCGCATAAACCATATCAATCACATAAGCCATATAAATCACATAAGCCATACATATAAACATATAAGGATGATGTGGGCTCCTCCCATGGTCTTAATCTAGGATTCCATGGGCTCCCCCACATGGTCTTACACCTATGTGCCATGGGCTCCCCCCATGGTCTTTACCTGGAAAGCCATGGGCTCCCCTACATGGTCTGACATCCAAGTGTCATGGGCTCCCCCCATAGTCTTTACCTGGAAAGCCATGGGCTCCCCCACATGGTCTTACATCCAAGTGTCATGGGCTCCCCCCCATGGTCTTTCATGCAAATATCACATAAACAACTAGCATACCACATAGCATATAACCAACTAGCATACTACATCTCACTACATCAACTAGTGTACTACATATCACAAAATGGGTCGGCCTTGGTGCCTTCGACCCATTGGTATGGTGAGGAGACTCACCTCGCACTGCTGAAGTCCCGCAGATGAAACTTGTAACGACCATAAAACTCGAACCAATTTAAAACATTTTATTTCATTTCAAAACCATTAAGTTCATACATCTTGTTTTCAAAATAGTTTAAACATCAGAGTATCCCCAGAACCATATCACATAAATCATAAAACATGAGGAGCGGTACGATCACGCCTTCGCCTTGCCACGATCTCCTGAAGTACCTGAAACAATAAACTGCAACTGTAAGCCCGAAAGCTTAGTGAGTTCCCCTAAAGTACCCATACACACATAAACATACATACAGCAAAGAACAACATGCTATAGGTCCAATCAACCTTCCGATTGGAATACCCCTGGCCCTCAACCTTCGGGTTGGAATGCCAACATACTACGAGCCCAATCATCCTACCGGGATGGAATACTCTCGGCCCACAACCATCGGGTTGGAATGCCCATACACCTATACACACTACTACAACTACTATGGGTCAAATCATCTCGCAAGATGGAATACCCCAGGCCCCTCAACCATCGGGTTGGAATGCCAATCTACTATGAGTCCAATCATCCTACCTGGATGGAATACTCCTGGCCCACAACCATCGGGTTGGAATGCCCCACCTCCTATCATACAATAACAACTACCATGGGCCCAATCATCCCTCATGATGGAATACCCCAGGCCCCTTAACCATCGGGTTGGAATGCCAACCTACTATGAGTCCAATCATCCTATATGGATGGAATACTCATGGCCCACAACCATCGGGTTGGAATGCCCCTATACTAGCAACATGTATACATAACAGGAAACCACATAACATTCTACAGAATCAACATACT